ATTTCTTTTTGTTTCTTTTCTTTTTATTTCTTCTCTTTCTTCTTCTTTTTTGTTTCTGTATAATTCTTTTGGATTCTTTTTCTTCTCTTTTTCCTTCCTTTTCTTCACTTTTTTCTCTTTTTTAGGTTTGTTTTCTTTCTTTTTTCTTTTCTTTTTTTTTTTTTTGTCTTTTATACACTTTTTCTCCTTTTTTCTTTTTTTTCTTTTTTTCTTCTTTTTTCTTTTTTTTTTTTTTTTTCACTTTTTTTTCTTTTTTATTCTTTTTGATTCTTTTTTCTTTTCTTTTTTTTTTTATTTTGTCCTCTTCTTTTTTTTTTATGGTACTTTCTTTTTTGTTCTTTTTTTTTTTTTTTTTCTTTTTTTTCATTTTTCTTCATATTTTTATTTTTTTCTTTTCTTTCTTTTTTTTTTTCCTCTTTTTTTTTGGTTTGGTTTCTTTTTTTTTTCTTTTTTTTTCTCTTTATAATTGTCTCTTCACTTTTTTCTCCTTTTCCTTCTTTTCTTTCTTTCTTTCTTCTTTTTTTTTTTGTTTTGCTTTTTTTTTTCATTTTCTTTTTTTTTGTATTCTTGTCATATTTTTTTCTTTTTTCTTTTTTCTTTCATCCTTTTTCTTTTTCTTGGTTTTTTTCTTCTTGTTTCTTTCTTTTTCTTTAATTTTTATTTCTCTTCTTTCTTTTTTTTCTTTTTTTGGTACTCTCTTTTGTTTCTTTTTCTTTTCTTCTTTTTTTAACTTTCTTCATCCTTTTTTTTTTTGTTTTTTCTTTTTTTTTTCTTTCTTTCTTTCTCTTTTTTTTAACTTTTCTTTTCACTTTTTGCTTTTGGTTTCTTTCTTTTTTTTTCTTTCTTGTCATTTTCTTCTCTTTTTTAACTTTTTCTTCACTTTTTTTCTTTTGGTTTCTTCTCTTTTTGGATTTTTGCTTTCTTTTCTTTTTCTTTTTTTGTTTTTTCTTTTTTTTATGGTACTCTCTTTTTTCTTGCTTTTTCTTTCCTTTTCTTTTGTCTCTTTTTTTTGCTTTCTTCTCTTTTTTCTTTTGTTTTTTCTTGTCTTTTATTTCTTCTCTTTTTCCTTTTTTTTCTTTCCATCTCTCTTTTTTGGATTTGCTTTTTTTCTTTTTTTTTTTCTTTGTCTCTTTTTTTTCTTTGGTAATTTCTTTTTTTCTTTCTTTTTTTTCTTTTCTTTTCTTTTCTTAACTCCTTTTTCTTTTTGCTTGGTTTTTTTCTCTTTTGATTCTTTTTTTCTTTTCTTTTTTCTTTCTCTTCTCCTTTTTTTTTATTTCTTTTTTCTCTCTTTTTTTTCTTTGTTTTTTTCTTCTTTTTTTTAACTCTTTTGTTTCTTTTTGCTTTTCATATACTTTTTGGATTCTTTTATTTTTCCTTTTTTTTTTTTTTTCTTTTTTTTTTATTTCTTGGTTTTCTTTTCTTTCTTTCTTTTTCTTTTATTTTATCTTTGTTCCTCTTTTTTTTGCTCATTTTTCCTTTCTTTTCTTTTTTTCCTCTTTTTTTTTCTTTTTGTCAACTTTTCTTCTCTTTTTTCTTCTTTTTTCTTTTTTTTTTTTCTTTTTTTTTTTCTCCTTTTATCACTTTCTCTTCTTTTTGCTCCATCTTTTCTTTTTTCTTTTTTTTTTTCTTTTTATTAACTGTTTCTTTCTGTTTTTTCTTTTTATGGTCTTCTCTTTTTGGATTCTTTTTTTTTTCTTTTAACTTTTCTTTTCACTTTTTTCCTTATGGTTTGCTTTCTTTTTGGATTCTTTCTTTTTTCTTTTTTTTAACTGCTCTTCTCTTTTTTTTTTTTTTCTCTTTGGTACTCTCTTTTGGATTCTTGCTTTCTTCTTTTTATTTATTAATTGTCTTTCACTTTTTTTCCTTTTTGTTTCTTCTTTTTTTGATTTCTTTCTTTTTTTTTTTTTTTTGCTTTTCTTTCACTTTTTTGTTTTTTTTTTTCATTTTCTTTTTTCTCTTTCTTCTTCTTTTTTAACTTTTCTTTTTTTCTTTTTTTCTTTTTTGGATTTTCTTTTTTTCTTTTATTTTTTTTTTTCACTTTTGTATCATTTACTCTCTTTTGGATTTTTTTTTTTTTTTTTTAATCCTTTTTTTTGCTTTGGTTTCTCTTCTTTTTCCTTTCTTGTTTTTTTCTTTTTTTTATTAACTTTCTCTTTTTTTTTTTCTTTTTCTCTTGATTTTTTCTTTTGGATTCTTTTTTTTCTCTTTTATCAACTGTCTCTTCTTTTTGCTTTGGTTTTCTCTTTTTGTTCTTTTCTTTTTCTTTTTATTTTCTTTCTCTTCACTTTTTTTGCTTTTGTTTTTTTTTTCTTTTTTTCAAATTTTCTTCTTTTTTTGCTCATCCTTTCTTTTTCTTCTTAATTTTTTCTCTTTTCTTTTTTTTTTTTTTTCTCATCCTTCTTTTTTTTTCTTTTTCTTTCTTCTTTTTTTAACTTTTTTCTTTTTTTATCTGTTTAATTGTCATCTTTTTTCTTTCTCTTTTTTAACTTCTCTTTTCTTTTTTTCCTGGTTACTCTCTTTTTGATTTTTGCTTTCTTCTCTTTTTATTAACTTTTTTTCACTTTTTTCTTTTTATTTTCTTTTTTCTTCTTTTTTCTTCTCTTTTTTTCTTGCTTTTTTCACTTTTGCTTCTTGGTTTTTTTTGTTTCTTGCTTTTGTTCTTTTTTATTAACTGTTTCTTCACTTTTTTTATTTTCTCTTTTTTTTTTTTTTTGCTTTTCTTCTCTTTTATCTTTTTTGTTTCTTCACTTTTTTCTTTTTTATTTCTTTTTTTTATTCTTGTTTCTTTTTTTATTAACTTCTTTTCACTTTTTTTGCTTTTACTTCTTTTTATTGCTTTCTTTTTTTATTTCTGTCTCTTTCTTTTTTTTGCTTTGGTACTCTCTTTTTTTCTTGCATTTTTTTCTTTTTTTTCTCTTTTTCTCTTCATTTTTTTCATTTTTACTCTCTTTTCTTCTCTTTTTTCTTTTTTCTTTTCTTTTTTTACTTTTTTTTCTCCTTTCTTTTCTTTTGGGTTGCTTTCTTTTCTTTTCTTTTTTTTTTCTCTTTATTAACTGTTTTTTCACTTTTTTCTCCTTTTTTTTTCTTTTTTTTCCATTTTTTTTCTTTTTTTTTTAACTTTTTTCTCTTCACTTTTGCTCTTTTATTTCTTTTTTCTTTTTTTTTTTTTTCTTTTCCTTTTATTTTGTTGGTTTTCTTTTTTTTCTTTCTTACTTCTTTTGATTCTTGTTTCTTCTCTTTTATCAACTTCTTTTTCCTTTTTTTTTTCATGGTATTCTTTTTTTGCTTTTTTTTTTTTCTTTTTTTATTAACTTTCTCTTTTTTTTTGCTCTTGGTACTTCTCTTTTTTTTGATTCTTTTCTTTCTTCTTTCTTTTTATTTGTATGGTTTCTTCACTTTTTTCTCTTTTTTATTTCTTTTTTCTTTTTTTTTTTCTTTCTTTTCTTTCTTTTTTTTCAACTTTTTTTCACTTTTTGCTTTTGTTTTTTTTTGATTTCTTTTTTTTCTTTTGTTCTTCTTTTGTCATGGTATTCTCTTTTCCTTTTCTTCCTTTTCTTTTCCTCTTATGGTTTCTTTTTTTTTGATTCTTGTCTTTCTTCTTTTTATTTCTGTTAATTCACTTTTTGCTTTTGGTTTTCTCTTTTTTGATTTTTGCTTTTTCTTCTCTTTTATTTCTGTCTCTTTTTTTTTTGTCTTTGGTACTCTCTTTTTGATTCTTGCTTTCTTTTCTTTTCAACTGTTCTTCTCCTTTTTTCTCTTTTTTTTTCTTTTTGATTCTTGCTTTTTCTCTTTTTTTTTTTCTTTCTTCTTTTGCTTTTGCTCTTTTCTTTTTCTTTTATAATTTTTTACTTTCTTCTCCTTTTTTTTTGTCTTTTCTTTTTGCATTTTTTTTTTCTTTTGGATTTTGTTTTCTTCTCTTTTTCTTCTTTTCTTCTTTTTTTTTGCCTTGGTACTTTCTTTTTTTTTTCTTGTTTCTTCTTCTTTTATTTAAGTTTTATTTCACTTTTTTGCTTTCTGGTTCTTTCTTTTGATTTTTTTGCTTTTCTTCTCTTTTATTAACTTCTTCTTCTTTTTTTGCTTTTGGTTTCTCTTTTTTTTTTTGTTTTTTTCTTTTATCTTTTTGTCTTTCTTTTTTCTTTCTGGTTTTTTTTTTTTTTTCTTTCTTCTTTTTATCAACTTTTTTTTTTCTTTCTTTTTGTACAAAATTTTTGATCTTGCTTTTTTCTTTCTTTTTTTCTCTTTTATAATTGTTTGGTTTTCTTTTTGATTTTTTTCTTTTCTTTTTTAACTGTCTCTTCATGGTTTTTGCTTATTTTTTTTTTTCTTCTTGCTTTTTCTTTTTTTTTCAACTGTTTCTTCAATTTTTTTTTGGTTTTCTCTTTTTTCTTTTGCTTTTCTTCTCTTTTTATTTCTGCCTCTTCACTTTTTTTGCTTATGGTTTTCTTTTGGATTCTTGTTTTTTTCTCTTTTATTTTTGTCTCTTCACTTTTTTTTTTTGGTACTCTTTTTCCATCTTTTTTTCTTTTCTTTTTTTCAACTGTCTTCTTTTCTTTTTTTTTTTTCATGGTCAATTTTTGCTTCTTTTTATTTCTTCTTTCTTTTTTTTTTATTTTTTCTTTCACTTTTTGCTTTTTCTGGTTCTTTTCTTCTTTTTTTTCTTTATTTTTCTTTTATTAACTGCTTCTCTTTTTCTTTTTGCTTTCTTTTCTTTCTTTTTGATTCTTGCTTTTTTTTCTTTTATCAACTGTTTCTTCTCTTTTTGCTTATTTTACTCTCTTTTTTGTTTCTTTTTTCTTCTCTTTTTATCAACTTCTTCTTCTCTTTTTTTCTTATGGTACTCTTTTTTCTTTCTTGCTTTTTCTTTTTATTAACTGTTCTTCACTTTTTGTTTATGGTTTCTTTTTCTTTCTTGCTTTCTTCTTTTTTATTTCCTGTCTCTTCACTTTTTGCTTCTCATTTTGGATTTTCTTTTTTTTTTTTTTCTTTCTTTTACTTTTGTCATGGTTTTCTTTTTTTATTTCTTTCTTTTTCTTTTATCAACTTCTTTTTTTTTGCTTATGGTACTCTTTTTTGGATTCTTTCTTTTCTTCTCTTTTTATCAACTGTCTTCATCTTTTTTTTTCTTTTGGTTTTCTCTTTTTTTTCTTCTTGCTTTCTTTTTCTTTTTTCTCAACTTTCTTTTCCTTTTTTGTTTATCACTCTCTTTTTTCTTTCTTTTTTCTTTTTTTTTAACTTCTTTTTTTTTTTGCTCATGGTTTCTCTCTTTTTTTCTTGCATTCTTCTCTTTTATTTCTGTCTCTTCACTTTTGCTTATGGTACTCTTTTTTTTTCTTCTTTTTTTTCTCTTTTATTTATTTTCTTCTTTTATTTTTTTTTCTCTTTTCTTTTAGTATCTTTTTTTTTTTTTTTTTTTCACTTTTTTTAACTCTCTTTTCTTTTTTGCTTTCTTCTATTTATCTTTTCTTTCTTTTTTTTTTGCTTTTTCCTTTTCTTTCTTTTTTCCTCTTTTTTTCAATCTTTTTTGTTTCTTTTATAATCTCTTTTTGGATTCTTTTTTCTTCTCTTTTATCAACTATCTCTTCTCTTTTTGCTTATGGTACTTTCTTTTTCTTTCTTTTTCTTTTTTATCAACTCCTTCTTCTCTTTTTTTTTTTGGTTTGTTTTCTTTTTTATTGTTTTTTTGCTTTCTTCTCTTTTTCTTCAACTGTTCTTTTCTTTTCTTTTTTTTGCTTATGGTACTTTTTTTCTATTTTGCTTTCTTTTTTTTTTCTTTATCTTTCTTTTTCACTTTTTGCTTTTGGTTCTCTTTTTCCTTGTTTTCTTTCTTTTTCAACTTATTTTCACTTTCTTTTTTTTCTTTCTTTGGTTTCTTCTTTCTTTTTTTTTCTTGTTTTTCTTTTTTTCTTT